TATAATATTAAGAGAATGTATGTATTAATAAATGTATATACAAACGTTTGTTTGGAAAATATAGATTTTCTTTGTTGATGATTTGATAATCCTTGATATCAGGCTGTAGATTATACTACTATTAAATCGATATGAAAAATAAGGAAATTAGTTAGTACGACTTTGAAAAAATGAGTTTAGAGCTATTTATTAAGGATTTTTAAAATAATTAGTGATATATATAAATATATATTAGAGAATGTATAAGAAATGATTGAAATTAAGATTTTCAAGTATACAAACCTTGAATTACGTGGTTAGCATTATTGCAAGGATTTGAAATTTTTATAGTTAACGATATAAAGTTTTTAGGAAATATTCAATTTGTTTTTATGCCTAAGATTTTCGTAGTTTTAGTAAGTGCTTAATATATGAGATCTGATTTGAAATTCGAATTAATCTTTAAATTGTCGAGTAGTTATGGAAAGTACAAATAATTAGGGTAATATATTTGATTATGATTTCCTTATTATCTATGTTTTAATTGATTAATTATTTATTTATTTTATAGAGTAATTGATAACTACCATTTTTGGTTTTAGTGATTAATTGATAACGAATTTTATTATTTAATTTTCAAATTCAAAAAATCATAATGGCACCCTACGTAATATTCTACCCTTTATAAGGTTGTTTATTTTTTAGTGATTCCCAATTAATAATATAGATTCATAAGTTGTTATAACTTTAAGACATAGTTAATTTTATGTAATAATTCAAATTTTTGAATATATTATCATAATAATTTAATACATAAACACAATCAATTATATTTGTTGAAAATGAGTTCCCCCGCGATATCGCGGGGGTTCATAACCTAGTATATTATAATAGTAAGTGAAAAAATATTATTTTTTTTGTCAGTCCCTATATACAATATCAGAATAAATATAAATTTTTTTCTATAATACTCAATTATGGATAATTTTTTCTTTAAGATATGAAAACAGAAAATAACTTTATTTTTTAAAAAGTAAAATTTTGCTACGTGTTTGGTTTGCTACGTGTTTCCTTTCCCTCTTTCTCACTTTCCCTTATTTCTCGTTCTTGTAATTCAAAAGCGGACTGCTTAGCGCGCTCTTCTAGACTTTTATTTTCTGAAGCTACTTTTGTAAACATTTCTCCTCCTAGTTGGACAACCATCCAAGGAACTTTTTAATAAATGTGTGGTTGACAAAAAAAAAAAGTAATATTTTTTGAACAATGAGTTAATTTATGTTAACAACCACAAAATAGGATTGCATATATTTCAGTTAGATCAAAAATTAAAATATCATAAATGAATCGCATATAAAACATAGATTATTTTGAATTAGTAAAGAAAATTAGCTATTATTTTGAATTAATTTAGAAAATTCTTTTTTAATTTATAATTCTTTGGTTGTTGAAATAGAGATTTGTTTGAGCTAATCTAATTACATAATTTGTTTGAAATTTATAATTATGGAATTTACCAATTATTCGCATAATCGAATATGTTATAAACATATATTTAGTATATAATAATATCAAAATGAACCCGTGCGTGGAGTCTATATTTTTATTTTAGAATCTCAATATTTCATTTTAAAATATTGCGTACACAATCTATTATTCGTTAATTCTAAAATTGCTTGCGGAATCAAATTTTCAAATATTTAGAGGTGTCAAACCATATTTAAATGTTCTACACTATTTTTAAATATTCCAAATTAAAATCTTTAAATTTTTTTTGTAGTTTATAAAATTATGAATTTCAAAAAACAATTTATATGAAATTAAATATAACTATTCAAATAGTTATAAGGATCAAAACTCATTTCATCATATAATATATTATATTTAACCCGCTACCTATTATAAATATTTAAAAAATAATCAAATTAGTTTAGGTCGAGAAAAATTTGGAGTTGGTCGACGGAACCTTACCGTGATCGGGAGTGATCGACGAATCTCCGTACCGTAAGGTAATCTATCGATCATCGGATGATTCAGTGAAGAATTCTTCAAGCAAGCGAGAGTTTGGTCTGGCCAAATGTAATTTAATGCTGAACAGACGAGGGTTAATCGAGAAAATATTGATCCAGACGAAAGATGACCGAGAAAATCATGTCTGACCGTACCGCAGTACGTGACCCGTCGGACAGACTGACCCTTGACCGAATGAGCGTCCCTTTGACCGTTGACCAAGCCGTTGACTGAGTGACTTGGAGCCGAAGTTTCGTAGCTTCGAGCCAAAGATTTGTCCCTTGGAGCCGATGTTTCTCCGGACTGGCTTAGCTGCTCGGAGAAAGGCTTTTCCTACACGTGTCGTTGTTACGTCCGCAGTACCGTACATGTCTGTCCGAACGGCTGACGCGTGTACGTGCTGACTCGACCACCTGCAGCATATAAATACTTGGAGTCTCGCGTCATTTTAAAGGGAGAGAGGAGGGAATCCCCGAAACGCTGTCTAATCGTAGAAAAACCTGTCGCGAGAAATCTGTGATCGTGAAATCCTTATGGAACAGCTGCGGTGATCGAGAAATAGTGGAGAACTGTCTGATCGAATGGAGAATCCGAGAAATATTATTTGACGGCAAAGTCTGTTTTCTCTGAATCATTCCCATGATCTAGTTATTATCTTGACACTATTTCTAAGGGTTGATTTTGAGTTGAGATAGAAGAATCAAGGCTGTGGTTATCAAGAGGTGTTGAATCAAGTTGAGGGGAAATGAGTTAAGTCAAGAACATGATGGAGAAGCCGTGGAATGTCCAAGATCGCTGAAGCAAACCTTAAACCTTCAGCCGAATCTCTGTGAGTCTCGAAGCATGTGATATGCCACATGATAGGTTTGGGTATTTGGGTAGTTGTTTGTTTGGTTTGATTGCTAAGTCTCGGTGATGTGCTTAGGCGTAGCATTGAGCAATTGCTTGATTGTGTGCGTTTAGGTGTAAGGTTACATGTTAGATTCTCGTTTTATCCTTAGTTGATTAACTTGAATCTCCATGAAGGTTTGGTTGAATATTGTACCGAATCATGTCCGCGATCCTCGTGATCCGTACATAAATGATTTTGTACTTGTGTGGTTGTTTGTGCTAGATACATATGATTCTATATGTTATATCTAACCATATGTTTCATTGTATCTAAGTGGTTGCATTCTTAGTATGCGGTACTCGTGACACAATGTCCGGTGCCTTAAGCATATTAAGATTAGGGGCATGTCTGTCCTTCCTCAGCGGCATGTCAAGTAAGCCTTGATCCTTAGCTGGTCACTTAAATAAACTGACCTAGGCCGGGTAATGCATGACGATGCATGTATCTTGTTGATATCCTTTATAGGTTCAACTTGAATGGAAGTGATGTTCCGATTATATCTCTTTGTGGTTATAACACGGGTGCTCATTGATAACATGGGATTTTCGCCCATATTTGTTATTGTTTTCTTATGTTTTAGGGAGCATTTGGAGTGATTTCAGAGCTAATAAGGATTTATTCAAGTATTTATGGAGCCAAGAAGGTTTTAAGAGTTTTTGAGCCTTAAAGACCAAAAGGCGATCAAAACCCGTTTCAAGACAGTTTCTGTACGTCAGAAGTATGGCGTCCGTTCGAGATCTTCCCGATTACCAAAGCAAGAGATCTCGGTGGCTGTGGAAATCTAGATGAGTCAAGATTCGCCTCGAAGTAGAATCAGAGCTTTTCATCGAGTCGTTCAGAAGTTATGACCAGAAGAGTGAAGACATGTCCAGACCGGCCAGAAGCTGTGCAACCGTTCCGGAGCTTCCTGACCGCACCGGTCACTTGGGCTGAGCCCGGGCTGCCTCCTACACTCTACCCCGGTCACTAAAGCCTCTACCCTGTCCAGAGACGCGAGTTGCACTTAACCTAATCTACGGGAAAAGACGCTTTTGCCCCTTGACCTAATCCTTGGTTCCCGAAACCTATAAATACATGTTGAGAGCCCTAACCCTAAGAGCGTGTCGTGCCTTCGAAGTGTGCCTCTTTTGCCGTGCCTCTCAAGCCCTCTCTGCCCTCGTCGTGAGCTGCAGCCGTCGCCCCTTGAAGCTTTGAAGAACCACCAAATCTCTCTCTTTTCTCTTGTTTACTCTAAGATCTATTAAGGTGAAGTCTTACCTCTTGTATTCCACATTCAAAGAAGTAATCTCTAAACCATATTCAGTTCTTATTCTTCTCTTTCTTATGAGTTTATCAAACCTAACTTTGATGATCTCTTTAACCATGCTAGAGTAGTTTTCTAGCTAGTTGGGTTTAAAGGGTAAATCAAAGGGGGGAATATGGCCGATCGTTTAGGTGGCAATATTTAGGGTTTTGTTTGATTGTTTACTCTGTTCTTTCTAAGTAAATTGTTTCTTAATGCATGTAGTTAGATTCATGTCCTAACTCGTGATCCCAAGTGTTTAGATTGCTCACAAGGTTGTTTAATACGCTAGACCTAGCTTACGAATGTGTATCGTGTTATAACAAGCACACACCACTTAGTTATAGGGCTTTATGGACTAGAATCGAACTTGATCTTATTGCTTTGATATATGCGTCGTTGCCTGCGTTAGTTGAGTAACGGAGTATAAGGATTTTAGCCGACTTATCCTATAACCTAGTATAAGCCGAATATTAGTGTTTCGTATGTCCGAGACTTGGAAGTAAACAAACCTAATTCTAGTATTACTTAGATAGCGATCATTGAACCCCTTGTGATACCCTTGATGCCCAACGTTTGTCTCTTATTGATTACTTGCTTTGTTTCCTGCGTTTATTTATTTTGCTTTCTTTACTTGCTTTCATTTACTTTTATTTGCAAACCGTGACACCACAACCAACTCCCCTTTATTATTTTGTCCTAGCTCTACTTTGTCTTAATAAGCTTGTCCGAACTACTTCTCTCTCTGTGGATTCGATACCCTAAGTGCTACGATTGATTGTTGTGCACTTGCAGCTTATTAATTGTGTTATTTGGGATTTTTAAAACCTGATCGTCATCCCGACACACATCAAGTTTTTGGCGCCGTTGCCGGGGAGAGATTGTTAGTTCCACAAGTTTAATGACTAGGTAAACTCTAGGACTTTTGCTTTTTAATTTTTAGTTTTGATTTTCATTGTTTCAGGAAACCTTAAGGATGATTCCAAGAGCTTTTCCCGAGGAATATCAAAAACTCACGCTTTCGGAGTTCGTAGCACTACAAGAGCTTTCGGACGACCACATGTACGGACCACCTCTTGGTACGTACGGACTGATCCGCGGTGCACACCGCACTCACCATCACTCGCCCGAAGCCGCCACCATTGGAGACTTTGAGCCGATCGGACCGTCCCGCAGAAACCACCATTGGACCGGCCACGAAGCTCGTGACCGGGGTGCCGCCTTCTGTCCGGACCGGTCACGACCCCTACCAACCGGTCTGGCCCCTGCCCGACCACTTCACGTCTTCCACCACGCCATTCGATCCTCTGGAGAGCAAATCATTGGGAGACACCATTCACCACGTCATGGAGCTGCAAACCATGATGGAGAGTACTGCTATCCGCAAGAAGTAATGAGTGTAGACGTTCACCCGAACAACTACCCATTTCGGAACCATGAGTCATTCGTTCCAAGGAGAGAAGCCACAGAGGAAAAACTTATGGAGATCATGCAGCAGTTACTTGACATCCAAGAGAAAGGCATGAAGGAGATCGATTCAAAATTCACGGAGATGAAAGCCGAATTCGATTCAAAGATTGATGCACTTACCATCGACATCAAACGTGTAGAAGAACAAGTTGGTGATGTCAAGAATGAACTCATGAACCATTTTGAGGACATTCAAGACCACAATACCAAGATCATCGACATGGGATACTCGATTGATTCCGTGGAGAGCCATCTAATGTGGAGGATTGAGGAGATACAAGAAGGATTAACTAATCCTACTAAGTTTCCCGAGTGGAGAAGTGACCAATCCTACCATGACGAAAAGAAAGAAGCTGCAACCCTTGAAGAGAATCCGACCACCGATTCTAAGTCTAAGGAGAAAGACTACCCCACCGATGAAGAAGAAGCGTATTTCAATGAGCAAATCAACGAAAGCCGTCTTGAAGACTATCCAAGAAGGAATGATGAGTTGACCGAATCATCTAACGAAGGAGACGAAGGAGATGAGGAGGAAGAACTCAAAGATGTCTATTCTTGTATGACAATTCGGATTCCTAATGAAGAAGTTCCTGAAAACTCTAATTTCGGACAACTTCGGAATCAAGGAGAAGCTACCTTCCAAGGTAACCTTAGACCACCGCCATTGAAGTTTTCTCATTGTTCTAGTGAAGATTGGGAATCCAGCCCAAGAAGCCGTGAAGGACGTTTTCACTCACCTTACCAAAGGAGAGCCGAGAATAACCAAGAGAGGTTCACACCGAACCGTCTCTCTTTTCACCAACCAAACCCGCCTATTCAAGACCATTCTCGTGTACCATGGAGGCAGAAAAGTCATGAGGAGAGACTTGAGAGCTTAATGAGCCAATACTTGGATCAACAAGCTTTGGATACAAGGACGCTACACGTGAAAATCGACAAGGTCGATAATGCTCTTTCGGGCAAGATCGATGAACTTTCTTCTAAATTTAGAAGATTGGGAGATCATGGTGCTAAAGACGCGGCCAATATGGAGAAGAGAATCCGGAGGTTAGAGAAAGATCAAGAGAGAGATCTCAAAAACTCTCAAGATAATGCCAAGAGCATTGGTGAATTGGCGATCCGGATAAGTGAGGAGGAAATGAAGAACGATTCTAGATTCGGAGATCTTTCCAATAAAGAGTCTACTATGCATGAACTCATGGAGAAATACGGAGAAGAAGCCGAAGAAACCAACGCCAAGGTTGGAGACCTAAGCAAGCAGTGTGAACTGCTAGGAGAGACACTTCCCGACGAGATCGATAGCCTACTTGATCCGTTAGACTGAAGGCTAGGCTTGAGGCTCGGGAAGTGGTGTTTGAGAGGAAAATGAATCTCCTCGATGAGAAGCTTGCGGGCTTGTTAATTCGCATTGCTGGATGTGAAGAAAAACAAGAAGAAAGGCCCAAAGCCCGGGCCCGTTATGAAGCTAAGGTGAAAAAGGAAATTGAGATCCTAGGAGGAAAAGGAAATATATTCCGTTTTCTTCCACGAAAAGGAAACCCCGGTGCTTTTAAAACAAGTAAAGTCCCTAACCCTACTTCACCGAATCTCGCAAAAGAAGAAGAAGCTTCAGAAGAAGAAGAATTTGAAAGAGAGTTCATCGAGAGTTTCAAAGAGGAAGTACCGCAAAACCCTATGGAGGAACCCAATCCTATTAGGGAATGCAACGCCGTGATTCCTCTTGATGCGAGACCCTTACGAGTGTTCGAACAAGGAGAGATTCTCGATTACGAATCAGACTACTTTGATGAGGATGTAGAAGACGATGGATACAACTCATATGACTCGGAGGGAGAACCGTCGGTCAATTCAACGATCACGGAAGAAGAAGATGAAGTAGGAGCTGCGGAGATAGACGGTATGAGATGCACTTTCCGCGACTTGGTAAGAGCAATACCACTCACGGATTCGCTCGATGCGGCATGGGAGAAGTTTCTCATCAAAAGATTCTACATGGAGAGTTACATCTCTAAGGATCGAGTTCGAGAAACGTTTGAGAAGACAAGGCGTTCCATCTTCCGTAAGAGGGGGGACTACATGGAAGAACCACCCGACGAGTTCCAATCCAAGAGAGTTTGTCTAGGGACAAACAATCCTTCTCACTACGCTTAGTGAGCTACCAAACGTCGAGCCAACGACGTTAAACAAGTACGCTAAGTGGGAGGCAACCCACTAGGTAAATACTTTTCCTTAGGATTTATTTGCTTTTATTATTGATAGTTTTAGTTTTTGTTTCAGGAATTTCATAAAAACAGAAAAGAAAATAGAAAAGAAGAAAACAGAAAAGCCAAAAAGAAGAAGGAGGAAGAAGATCCCTGGACCGGCCACACCACCCCGTGACCGGTGCCAGCAGGAGGCTCCGGACCGGCCACACCTACCCGTGACCGGCCACACCTGCCCGTGACCGATCCAACCCACGCTCTGTTCTATGATTGTTTCGCGACCCTCCAAAAAATGGTGGCAAGTTGAATCACAAGACCGGCCATCCTTAAAGATGTCCGAAGCATGCCGAAGGCGATGGATTGATCGAGCTACCAACGATCAATGCCAAGAGTCCCCACCGTGACAATCCAAGAGCCGCAACAACGTTCAGCCATCCGTTCGTACACGACTCCATCTTGTACCGTGTACCGAACCACGTACGTACCGCAGCCCGTCCGCTACCGTACCGCAGAGCAACATCCACGTCCATTCTTCAATTCCGTCCGATGAAATGATCTAGGATTGAATATCTACCAACAATATGGATATTTCATGAGTAATCATCGGGACAGAATCCTGAAACAACGAGCGTTTCGCGAGACGACACCAATCTGCCGTACCGCGACCGTACCGCGAAGCACCTCCACGTCCGTTTTGAAGTTTCACTCGACCCAATGAGCTGAGATTTGGAATTCACCGTCAATATGGGGATTTGATGAGGAATGACCGAGACAGAATCTTCAAAAGAGGCGCCATTCGCGAGCCACGAGCCAAGGCGACATGGAGAACAGCTCGGATCGTGGCGGGCTTAACGACGGGACTGAAGGTTTCATCACAATCAATGCCTAACTGTTGAGAATTCCCGTTGGCGACAAGACGAGATTTGTAGCGGCTGAGAGCTCCATCTACATTAAAATTTATGCTTAAACAACCACATAGAATGCACAATGTTAGTATGCTTGGGACGTGGCACAAGAACCCACGTTCCCTTTTTAATAAGAGCATCATATTCCTCTTGCATAGAACTATTCCAAAATGGATACTTAGCTCCCTGAACACGAGACAAAGGTAATGGAGATATTGTGACATCAGTATGAAGACACAATGGAGTTCGCGGTTTGACGATACCGCTTTTACCTCGAGAGATCATAGGATGAGCATTTTGGGTGAGAGGAATATTTTGTAAAGGAAGAGCATTTTGAGTAGGTGGTGGAGGAAGAGGAGTCGGAGGAAGAGTTACTTGAGGAGAAGCTGGTCGGTAAATAGGAGGAGGGGTTGGTAGAATAGGAGCTGGTGGTGACGGAGATGACAAAAAGATGGTGGCGAATGGGAATGTCTTTTCATCAAATACGACATGACGAGAGAGTATGATACGGCGAGTGGTGAGATCAAGATACCGGTAGCCGCGATGGTCCGTCGGATAACCGAGAAACACACACGGAGTAGAGCGTTTGTCAAGCTTATGTGTGGACGTGGGCAAGAGATTTGGGAAGCATAGGCACCCGAACGTACGAAGATGTTGATAAGTGGGCGCTTGGTTGAACAAGCGTGTGAACGGGACTTCATTGTTGATCGTCTTGGAAGGTAAAATATTGAGTAAGTGAGTCGCAGGGTGGAGAGCTTCAACCCAATGCTCGCCGGGAAGAGAAGCTTGGAACAATAATGCTCGAACCATGTTGTTGATGGTGCGTAACATACGCTCAGCTCTACCGTTTTGTTGTGAAGTATGCGGACATGAGAATCGAAAAAGCGTCCCAGTGGATGCAAAGTGTTCCATGAAGAGACGATTTTTATTCTCTCCGCCATTGTCGCATTGAAGAGATTTGATTTGACATTAGAATTGTCTCTGTACATAAGCAGAAAAATGTAAGTATTTTCCAAAAGTCTCACTTTTACGATGAAGAAGATATACCCAAAGTAAATGTGAGTAATGATCAAGAAAAATAAGATAGTATTTAATCCTACTAATGCTTGGAATTGGAGAAGTCCATAAATCAGAGTGAACTATTTCAAAATGAGAAGAAATTAAAGTATTGGAGGTGAAAAACGGTAAACGAGTGTGCTTGCCAAGTTGACATGCTTGACACAAATTTGTCAAGTCAGTCTCTGGACTAGAGAGAGAGAAAGACGATAAAAGACGAGATAAAATAGAGTTGCTAGGATGACTGAGACGATTATGCCAAACCGAGCTATCCAGTGACGTGGCGGTGAGAGCGTGGTGAGAGGAATATAATGGAGATGGTATCATATCGGAGGAGTTTGCTCCGACTTCGGAGATCCTTAACAGAAAAACCAAAGGGATCAAACTCAATGGTACAATTGTTATCAGTGACAAACTTACGAACAAAGACTAGATTTTTGATTATATTGGGACAGACCAACACATTTTTAAGGGCAAAAGAACGAGAAGGAGAAGGAATGGTACCATGACCAATTATCTTAACGGCAGCAAGGGATCCATTACCGACAGTTACAAGAGGCATGGTGTTCGAATTAAAAAGGGAATGTAGATTACGTGTGTCGGAAGCAATATGGTTTGTGGCACCGGAGTCCATCACCCAAGGGTTGTTAGGGTCTTGAAGCGTCATTGTGTTGAACGCATGAGTGAGACCAGCGTGAATGGGCAGCAGTGGTGACGCAAACGGCGAATAAGCCATGTGAGCTTCATGTGTGGGACGAACATGATGCGGTCCGAGGAGACTAGAGTGAGCCGCAGTGTTGGGTGGATACGGTGGCACGAAGGATGGGTACCCAGGTGGTGGATATATCTGCTGCTGCGGAATAGTGGCATAGTACGGTGGTGGTTGGTTGTAGGACCACGGCGAGACAACTTGATTTGGAGACCAATTGTTTTGAAAGCGTCCTCTGCCTCGGGAGCGACCACCGCCACGATTGCGTCCTCTGTTACCACGGCCAGAACTGTTGGTGTTGCTGTTGTGAGTGCGAGAAAAGCCATCAGAGTTGGTTTAGAGAAACGTGGAAGAGGAAGGTGTGTCATGGTGACTTGCACTCGGTTTGACCAGCTTGGAAAGTCGTTCTTCCTCCATCTGTAGCATAGATCGGGCTTCAAGGAAATCCGGGAAAGGATTCTTGTGTTTGATGACATTAATAATGGAATTAAATTATCAGACAAACCATTCAATAGATGCATCACCAAACCACGTTCAGGAACCGAAGAATCAATGTTGGCGAGGAGATCTGCGGTGGTCTTCAGTTTCTGGCAGTAGTCGTGGATAGAGAGATTACCAATCACCATCGTGTAGAGGTCGTTTTCAAGTTGAAGGGCTCGTGCCTCCTTGTTATTATGGAAGAGATTCTCGATCGAGAGCCATAAGTCACGAGCAGTGGCGTTCTTCTTGAGCACGGTATCAAGGATGGATTCGGACATGGTACCTTAAATCCTCATCTTCACAAGTCCATCACGCTCCTTCCACTCATTTTCGGTCGCCGGTGTTGCGGAGGAGGAGCCGTCGATGTGTCCTAGGACACTGAAACTGAGACAGTGGGTTTCAAAAAGTTCGCGCCACTTGTCGTAGTTGAGCTTGCTCATGTCAAGTGAGATTGGAATATACGCTTTGATCTGTGCAATTCCAAAGGGCTTGTCACCAGAGGAAGAAGTTGTTGGGGCAGCCATGATTTGCAGAGAGAAAGATAGGAGATGAAAGAGAGATCGAGAGGACGAAGAAGAGAAGAAGAGAAGAGAGCAGAGACTGGATCGATCGCTTAGCTTGGTGGCTAGGTTAAAGCGTCTGATACCATGTAAGTTAGGTAAACTCCGTGCCTTGTATCATTCATTAAGGAGAGTATATATAAGATACAATAGAAGGTTCTAGAAAATATCTAGGTGTATCAAGAGAATATTTACATATTCTATATATGTACTCTAACACTTTCTCTCACTATCTAACCAATATTTTTTTTCTCCATTTATCTCAACTTCTCTCTTCGAATTTTCCTGATTTCATCACCATCACCACTCAACGATGTACGCTTTTCATCCATGGAGCTATCTATTTCATGTTTAATTTATATTATATTTTTGGATTTGGAAGGTGTAGTTCTTAGGTTAGATGGTTAGATACGAGTTGAAACGTAAAAATTAGAATTTTGTGTTGAAATTTGTTAGATTAGTTGTTTGTTATGTTAGATTGCATGATTGTTAGGTTAGATTAGGTGATGTTTTCGAGATTTTATCAACTTTTGAGAATTGGGTTAAACTTAAGTAAATATCGGTGATGTTTTTGAGATTTTATCAATTTTTGAGAACTGGGTTAAAATTAAGCCCGAGAATCATTTAGATTTGTTTTTGTTTATATTGATTTGTTGAATTTCTGTATATTTCAAAGTCTTTTTATCAATCTACGTCTTTTATTTTGTTTTGGAATTTTATAGATTTTTTTGTTAAAGGATAAGATTAGGAGATTGTTGTTTAGTTTTTGATTTTATAATTGTTAATTAGAGATTTTTGGAATTTATGATTTGTTAATTATATCAACTATTTTCAAGGAACTACGGAGAATTTCAACGTCATACTAACCGTTCCACCCAAAACCGAGTAGAACAAAATGATTCTCGGGCTTCGTCACAAACCCCCTCAACACATGTCTCGGAGTCTCCCACATCCACTGCGCCTCCTATAATGTCCATTGAGGATTTTGTCTCTCAACCGGGACGAGAATGACTCCGCTGTCTCCATCCTCACTACATCGACGATTCTACATAGTAAGTGTCAAACATATTTCATTAACATTTTTAACTTTTCTTCTCAATTTCTAATGTTGGCTAAAACTTTTGTAGGTTCGAGGAATCTGGAAACGACATCAGTAAATCTATGTTAAAGATGATGTATGGACTCCTCAAAGAACCATATCCAATATATATGTTGATACCGCGAGAGGACCGAGACTTGTGGTTCAAACAGTTTGCGGTATATTTTACATGTATATTTAATTTATATTTCCAGAAATTATTTTCTTTATCTATATATTAATTTATTGAACTTTTTAATCTAGTAGCAAGACTCCAATTGGGAACGAGATTTGACAACGAAGGTCCATCGAATGTTTGACATGGAGATGGCAAGGGAATTTTCCCACACGGTAAACAAATGGAAGCAAAAGTGGGTCCTCGGAGAGACTCCGAAGTGTATAACCGAGAAGGTGTATGAAGGGCTGAATGATTCTTGGATATAACCCGCGACAAAAAAGACTTCATCTACCAATTCCAACAATCGGAATAGTAGACGAGGTGGAAAAGGGATCTCAACGCACAACGTCGGGTCAACAAGCATCTATACCCGTGAAAAACAACTTGTAAGTTATCACATTTGGTTTTTGCTTTATTATCTTTTTAAGAAAATTAAAATTAAACTTTTCTTCTAAAGACTACTAGAGATGGTGTGGCCCCAAAAGTCCCGTTGGAATTCATGAACCAAATTTTTCTCGAGGTAATTATATATTTGATTTACATTATTACATTATTTTTATTTTTTAAAATATTTATTTCTAACTAATTGTTCGTAATTTTTAGGAAACTCCAAAGACCAAAGGTCGTATCTTTGGGTTAGGAAAACTCGGCAGAAGAA